AAATCTAAAAAAAAAAAAAAAGTCACTGCTCTAGATAATAACTGAACTCTGTTTTTTCTTATTCTGTTGAAGGTATCTTTGGTCCCCTCTGTCTTTATGCTCTGTTGTTCTGGTAAATTCCTTATGCATTCTTTTGAATAAGAATGCACCCTTTTTTCTTCCATGCTAGGTATTGAACGTAGGGCTACACATGTGCTAGGCTACAAATGAACTATACTTCTAGTCTTTTTACATTTTGAGATAGGGAGGGTCTCACTAAGTTTCCCAGATTGGCCTTGATTTTACCGTTTGGTCAAGGCTCATTTTGAACGTGTAATCTTCCTGCCTTAGGCTTCTAGTAGTTGAGATTCAAGCTCATGTCACTAGGCCTGACTAGAATATATGTGTGTGCATATATATATATAAATTTTTAAAGAGGGTATATAATTGGCATAATTAGCAGTCAAACAAAATACTTGAAGCTATCTCATGCCTACCTCATGCCATTCCATGTCTGAGCTACTCTTGGACCTGGTTCAGTTAGCAACTGCTCTCTTAAAAAAAGACCAGAATTGCTTTTTTGAGCAGGCTTCAGTAGATAAACCAGAAGGAGGCCTGATCCTACTATACTTGTCTTTAGTTAAGTGAATATACAATCGTAACTGAGAACTAGTTGCGATATTTGTAGTTGGATAACTTAGATTCAGACTCCTTTCAGGAAAGAAGAGGTAACATGTGCTGCCTGTCATCACTTTTGCCATCCCTGGAAGTAGTCTAGAAGGAGGAAATGTACCTGCTGTGAGTCCTGAAGATGATTCCAGATACAGTTGAAATGGAAGATTCTAAGTGATCTGAATACGAACCCAATTTCTAAAAGACGCAGAAGCAATCCAATGTATATACTTCACAGAAAAGTATTTTTAGGTGTGTGTTTTAATGTGTATGAACACCATACACCACCTCTTTTCATCACCACCTCTTTAACAATTAGGAAATATTTTAGAAGTTTCAATGTGGTGGCAGCTTAAAGAACTGGATGAAACCCTACAAGCTGCCTTATTGGGGACGTGGAAGGAAAGAACTTCATTGGGGTCTCATTAGAAGAAGACAGAATGTATGGGGGCAGAAGGTTAGGATTTATTTTGCCACCATGCTGTTCTGTATTCCTACACAATAGATGTGAGTTCCTAAGCTTTAGGCAATCATAATTTTAAAAATGTTGGTAATACACACACCTAATAACTGGGTCAAAGGCAGTTTTGATCTATAGTTGTTTAATAACAAACAAGCAAATATTTATTATATATTATGTTGTATTCAGTTCCTACCAGGAGCTTTTCATCTGAAGGTTAACACATCTGAAGTAATAGCCAAAGTACAAGATGATAGAGTAATTGACTCTTAAGTATTAAATTATGCTATCCTTGATGTACTTTGTATGCCCTTGCTAATCTCATCCCTCATGACTTTATCTAATAAGTGAGTAGGTGGGTCAGTGTTTCTCAGTCTTGAGTAACACATGGATAAACTGCTGCAAACATTTCTTACATTCCATTAACATGAACTGAAAGTATTCTCATAATTATTTTAACTAAACATGTACCAATCTAAAAACAGACATAAACTGCTTAGACTTAGCAATTCTTATCCAGTTGTAAAAAACAAACTTATAAATTAAATATTGAAAAGCTCCATAGTCAACAGACCGTATGTTACCTTGGTGGCATGTATGATGTTTTTTTGAAACAAACAAATTACCACCATACTTGGGTACCTGAGGGTTTTTTAGGTCTTTCTTAGCATATTGTGTGATGACTCAATTGATACCATTTGATTGGAACTACTGTAAAACTATATATTTTTTTTTCAGGGTTTTTTGCCTGGGAATTATCTAAACAAATTATGCTTGCATTAACTCTGCTTGTGATCATCTCTATACTTTAGCAACAAGATGGCCAACATGATTGAAATACAGAAGAAACCATCTTGGTCAATACTTGATATAAGGAAGCCATTGAGACGGTCTTGATTTTCTTCTTTTACTTTTTAAAAGTTTTCAGAGATGTGAAGCCATGAAATCATCATTAAAAACAGTGGATGCTGTGCCTCTCAGATTCCTCTAAAGGAAGAATGTGGTACCCTGCTGCCCACCCAGCTTGTATTTCTGTTTCTGTGTGTTCAACTGCAAAGTGCTACCCAGCCCCAGGTGCCCGCATTCATGGCAGATGGAGGTGGCCATGCTTGGCTGGGTCCTCTGAGCAGGGACAGCTCTGGCAGTGTGCTGTCCTAGAAACTCTGTGGAGTGGTTGGTGCTTCAGCATCTTGTGCTGCACCTCAGTTTTCATGGGTAGTTCTCCTTTCCCCACTCCCTGCCATTAATTATGATCCCTAAAACAGCCTGTGTGACAAGCTCCATACCAGTCTGCTTCCAAAAAAACTGAAGTCACTGGTCGTGGTGGTGAGCAACTTTAATCCAAACGCTAGAAGGCAGAGGCAGGTGAACATTGTGAGTTTGAGGCTAGCCTGGTCTACATAGTGAGTTCCAGGCTAGACAGGGCTACATAGTGAGACCCTATCTTATAACAGTAACAACAAAGAACCCAGTTGAAAGAACTCTCAGTCTCTCCAATGAGGATCCCTGAGCAGGGAGAATTCCTTTTAGGAAATCTAGATGCTCAGTGTAAGCCCCTAGTCTCTACGTTCAGCTTCTGGTTGTATTATATATTCCTGCCACACCGAGGATCAACAGGTCCAATTCCAGTGCATGACTGATGGTTTAGGCTCATGCCTCATAACAATGTGTGTATATATTTTTCTGTTTTAAAATAGCACAACCATTGAATTCCCACAGCATCAAAAGCTAGGAGATAATTTGGATTCCTTACACCTTGCTTTGCACATCCAGTCTATTATTCATGATTCTTTTTTAAATTTTATTTATTATTTTTATTATTTTATGTGTATGAGTGTATTGCCTGCATGTATGTGAGTGCACTTGTGTCGTGCAATGCCATGGAGGTCAGAAGAGGACTTCGGATTCCCCTGGAACTGGAGTTAAGGACGGTTCATAGCCGCCATGTGGGTGCTGGGAATCAAACCTGGGTCCTCTGCAAGAGCAGTCAGTGCTCTTAACCTCTGAGCCATCTCTCCAGCCCCCATTCATGCTTCTTAAGTGGGGAGCATGCTACTTATTTCTCTAGGGATCCACTTCCCCCTAAACAAGGAATGTGATGGAGAGCTGTTCTTTGTGGCTGGGACAGCTATTCTTCTTAACAGTGTTGGCTTCCCCCTTTCTTTGATTGTACACACTTTTAAAACATTTGCTTTTTCCTGAAGGATACACATACAACCTAATTATAGGTAACCCATAATCACCTACTTACTTGGAGCAAAATAGAGTGGCTCACTTAGGGAAAAGCAATGATTTGAGGGATGAGAGAATGTACTAAAGACTTCACTGAGCCTTCTTAATTAGTGCAGTCAGAATGAAATGTCTGTCCTCATTTAAGATAAAATATATATTCAATTTTCTTTATTTTTCACATTAGAATAAAGAAAAACAAGTCTTGATAAATGTCAGTGATCATTTTACGACATAGTCACTAAAATATGCCAGTGTCTCTGAGAACAGGTGTTTCTTTCAAACTCAGTGAAAGATACTGATGTTTAAAATGGAAAGTTGTGTTGTCAGTTGAAAACGAGAATCTGAGATGTTTGTGAGGGAGAAATTACTGGGGAAGCAGTAGAACATTTCCTGCCCATGGGTGCAGTCCTGAGGATTTGTGACAGCCAGGATGAATCCAAAAACCATCACCACGACACCAACTGGAAGCATGACACAGGACATTATCTTATCTGAGTGTGTCCACCGTTCTTCAGATAATTTCAGATAACATGCAGACGGGATGATAAAAATCAGAGGAGCTGCACAGAGCACACCCTGTGTATTGAAGACAAGACACAAGATAAAGTTAGAAAGAAGCATTCTTTTAGCAGTTTTTGTATAGTTGGTTTTTCCAAGACAGGATTTTACTATATATTCCAGGCTGGTTTCAAATCCTCAGCGATTCTCCTGTTTCAGCCTCCCAAGTGCTGGGATTACCAGCATGCCATCACATCCAGCTTTGCATAGTTTTAAAAACATTTATAAAGAGTATTCTTTGGGCTGCCTAAATGACTAAGCATTTGATGCCCTACAATGCAACCCTAGTGACCTAAGTTAAATCCTTGGAACCTGCTTAACGGTAGAAGGTAAGAACTGATTCTACCAAGTAGTCCTCTGAGTTCCACAAATGTCTCTGGCATGTGTGCCCCCCTACACACACACACACACACACACACACACACACACACACACACACACATTTTAAAATAGTTCAAATGCTCTAAAAACATTTTTCATTGGATATATTAAATTTTTTAAATTTTTTAAATTTATTTTTATTTTATGTGTATGGAGTGTTGTGCCTGCATATGGTAAGTACACCCATGTTGTATAGTACCCTCGGAGGACAGAAGAGGGCATTAGATCTCTTGGAACTGGAGTTACAGATGGTTGTTAGCTGCCAGGTGGGTGCTGAGGTTTGAATCCAAGTCTTCTGCAAGAGCGGTCAGTGCTCTTAACCACTGAGTCAGCTCTCCAGCCCCTGGGCATATTAAAAGTTTGATAGGTTCAGTTGAGTCAAACAAACAAACAAACAAAACACTTCAAGGAAAAACTTATGGTAGGTTTCTCTTTTTCCAATGGAATATTTACAAAAGAAGTCAAATAGTACAACAGTATCTCAAGCCTAAGAGCAGAGGATCGGAAAGTAGAGCAGACAGTAAGACAGGCTTGTGGCAAACTTGAACTCCACCTTTCCAGTTACCTTGCCTTTGCTTTTACTACTCTGACATTCCTGTGCATCTACAACACCTTTCAAATGTGAACAGACCATTTGCCATCTGTGTGCTGAGAGTGACACTGGGAAACCAGATCGACATTTTGTCTTTCCTCTTCCTGTGTTTGTTCAAAAGTAGTGCCTGTCTATGGCAGAAAGAAAAACTGTACCCTGAGGTACTCTGCACGAAATCCCATTTCTAATTCTTCTTTCAAGTAAAGTTAAACACATTAATTACCCTAGAAAATTGACAGCAGAACTGACTGTAACTTTCCACCCTCCCCCACATTAGCTACAGATAAATCCAACCTCAGGGGAAATGTCACGTTGAAAATTATTGTGGTGAGTTGTTTCTTGTAAAAACCACTGACACTCATTGACTTCAAAGGAAAGGAGATTTCTCCCTTCAATACAATGAATTCTCAGTACAAATTTTGAAAATGATGTAAATGTCAAAATTTACTGTGTTTTAGGTTATATATTTTTGTAATTATGTTAAGTGTTATGTATTAACTAAAATATCAGTCATAATAAAACAAAAATTTTATGACAAACATTTCTCATAATCCATAAAAGTTTTTAAAGTAAATTTTATTGTGTATATTGGAGGTTTACAACATGATGTTATGGGATACATGTGGATAATAAAATGGTACTATAGTGCAACAAATTTAGACTCAAAATAAAAAATTGCAGTTACTTTTGCCTGTGTGAAAAGAGCAGCTAAATACCTACTTATTTAGCAAAATTCTCAGTTACAATACAATGTTATTCACTCCAGGCTTTCTGTGTGCATTAGATTCCTAGACTTGTTAAGCCTACATACTGGCTACTCTGCATTCTTTGCCCACATCCCTTGGCTCTCTCTCTCTATTGCTTTGATAACTAAGTACTATTCTCTATCTCTATTTATATTCCCCTTTTTATATATAAATTCCACATAATAAGTAAGATCATGCAGTTCTTTTTCTTTATTCTGTGTCTAGCTTTTTTCACTGAGCATAATGTCCATGCACATAGTGGCAAAAGGCAGGATTTCCTTATTTTTTTTTCTAAATTATTTTATTTATTTATTATTTTTATTTTATGTGTATGCGTGTATTGCCTATATGTAGGTAAGGGCACCCATGTTGTGCAATGCCCGCGGAGGACAGACGAGGCTGTCGGATCCCCTGGAACTGGGGTTACAGACAGTTGTTAGCTGCCATGTGGGTGCTGGGATTTGATTCCTGGTCCTCTGCAAGAACAGCCAGTGCTCTTAACTGCTGAGCCATCTCTCCAGCCCCAGGATTTCCTTCTTTTTAAGGCTGAATAATATTCCACTGTATATGTATATATGTCCCACTTTCTTTAACCATTAATTTGTTGATCTACATGTAAGTTTTTATATTTTGGCTAATGTGGATAATGAACATGGGAGTATAGATATAGTTACCAGACAGTCACTTCATCTCCTTTGGGTATAAAGCTAAAGCAGAGATTGCTACTCTCACGGTAGTTTTGTTTTAAAAACCTCCGTAATTTTCTCCATGGTGGCTGTGTTGATCTACATCTGTTCGCTT